GGATATTGTATCTAATTTGCGGGCGTCAGGGAGCCACTATTAATATGCGGGAGACTCCCGGAGCTTCCGGGAGAGGTGGGATGTCTGACATTACAAATGTCTTCATTGTCACTTTAAATTTAACTCTATTTGTTTCTGCTATAGTGGAGTAATGGCTGCTGAAAATTCAGCTTTGCCATCACAAGAATAAAATACATTTTAAAATGTTAAAATAGAAAACAGTATATTTGATTAAATAAATGCAGACTTAGTGGGGGAAAACAAATATATATAATCTATGTTGTTTCAAACGTTTGACCAGTAGTATATGATACCTTCACATAACATATAAAAATGATGTGCAAATAACACGTTTGTACTGAGAGCTGTTGTTACTTGTCAAAACCTTGTGATCTGTAAAGTTGAGCTATGATTGCGTTTGTCTGTACCCTGTAAATCTAACCTCTCCATTCGTGTGTCATTTTTGTGTATTGAGCAGAATGTTCCGGTCCGCTGGGCATGGAGGGTGGAATCATCTCCAACCAGCAGATAACGGCCTCCTCCACTCACCGAGCTCTCTTCGGCCTCCAGAAATGGTACCCTTACTTTGCCCGGCTGAATAAGAAGGGTCTTGTGAACGCCTGGACCGCAGCCGAGAATGACAGATGGCCCTGGATTCAGGTAACAGATTGACACGGGCAGATTAAGTCTGGATGAAGATCCATCAACATTGAATGAACCTGTAGTTGGCAGAAATATTTTCTTCCTGTCAGCCTGAGTGTTTTTTGTTGTTTGTTTACATATTGCCAAAGCATTGCAGAAATACTTATAGAAAACTTTAAGATAAGAAATAAGTAAATGAATAATAATAATAATAATAATAATTGAACACCAATAATATGTGATAATAATTTAGCACCAAATCACTAAATTATTTCTGAATGATCATGTGAAACTGAAAACTGGTAATGATTTCAGTTTTGCCATCATAGGAATAAATGTCATTTTCAAATATGCTGGTTAGAGCTGGTCAAGCAGCATCGCTGTGTTGTTTACTAAGAAACATTTAGCTGGTATGGTTGGTTGACTGGAAGGTTTTTTTTTCTCTCTCTCTCTCTATCTCTCTCTTTTTATGGTGGTGCTGGCTGCTAAAAGAAGTGATTAATCCAGTCAAGAAGCCTTGTTGAAATACCAACACACCAGCAACTAAAACATAACATATGCTCTTGACAATTTATGCTGTTTTGGTTGCTGTTGCTGTTGTTGTTTTTGTTTTCTTTAGCAGGGAAGCTCTGAATTTAGTAGGATCTCTCCGTTATCCGCTCTAGAAATCAAAACAGTTGTCTTTCTAACAAATTCCCTCCTTGGCTGCAACTCTGTCAGTATTCAGAAATGTTTCAAAGCGTTGTCCATTCACAGAACCATTTCATTTCAGCCTATTACCATTGATTGATGGCAATGGCAGGCTTACATCGTTGTGTATCAATCCATTTCTTTGGTTTCTTTGGTGGATGGTTTAGTATTCATATGCAGTTTCTTCAGCAGAGTACATTTGATTGATAATGCAGACAATCACAGTGGATGGAAGTTTCAGTCCATTTACCTCTAGTTTTACGATGAGTAGCCTCATGTCAACCTCAGATTTATTCTTTAAATGCCTGATTGTAAAAGAAAGAGAGACTGAATTGGATCCTTCATTGAATTGATATTCAGTGGGTAGTCTGTGCAGCAGCGTAGTGAAAAACTCTGATGAGATGAAATTCGGCTGAAAAAAATAAATGATAGGGGGAGCCTGACTGCAGACTTGTGAGTGTAACAAGTTAAGCACTGTTTGTGCACCAGTAGCTGCTCGCAGGTAAAGAGCGAGGAATATAGGTGGAGAGAGAGCTAGAAAGGGAGACAGGGAGGGGAAAGTAGTAAAAAGGGAGAAATCTAAAGTATTTATGGAGTTTGTTTGACTTTAATGATGCCTCTTGGGATGAAGCTTTTGGTGCTGTGGAGCTGCTGGGTTAGAACACAGAGAGATGTGTTAGAAACATCAGATTGGCTTAAGGCAATATGCTGTGGTAGTTGCCACATGACCTCTCTTCAGCTCTAGTCATTTAAATTAGAGGTGACACACAGTGTGTCTGGCTGTCTCTCGTTAACATCCTTTTTCTTCACTGTCATTCTTTCCAGTCAGTTCTACCTCAGTTTCTTAGTGTCTTCAAGACGTCAGGTGCTGTGGTGGTGAATAAAATGCAAAAACTAGTGTCATTTAGGGTGGGGGTGATGGGGACTGTTCACCACCACTTGTTTTATGAATATATAAAATTACGTTAGAGTGGATTAGAACCCAAAGCCCTCATACTCAAAGCAAAATGTTACCTGTGAACCAGTGGTTCATCATTAGGATTAAGCTGTTGATCCATGCATGTCCACTGAGCTATAAAATCCCAAGACTGACAGCAGCAGATGTAGGGATGAAGTAATGCAATAAGGTTCTTTACTATCACTTTTGATCAATGTAGTGCATCCTTGCTTAATAAAAGTATTAATTTCTTTCAAATAAATTCTTACAGGTGCATTTGTTTTTAAAAATATAGAGAAAAAGAGCTAGAGGTAAACATGGATTTCTGTGAGGAGCAGCAGATTTGTCAGTAGCACTTGCATCTTGACTTTCTCAGTTGTGTGAAATTGCTTTGTGACACACTGGGGAAATTTATTTTAAGTCCATAGTGGACAAAAGTGTGAGATTTCATAACTGAAGAAGTGGCACTTTTGGACATGAAGGAAGTGGAATACTCAGCAGCATGCTTTTTTCTTTTATTTATTTCATTTCTTGAGGGGGATCAGGATTTGGCACGTCTCCTCGATATCCTGAATCTCACCATTCATTTAAGTGTTTTACTGTAACTTCCAAGGCTTTCATTAGAAAATATCAGCACTTATCCTTGCCAGGCACATTTTAGTGTAACCTGTCAGATTTAATTTATGCCGTTTATCCTCAGTTTATCTTTTCAAATATTGCTGCTACACGACTACATCAAGTATCTCAAGGTAGAAATCTGTAACTGCTGTAAATTTTTGAGTATATTAACCACATTACTAATAACACTTACACTCCTTTGACTCAGTGTCAAGGCCAGAAATCTGCAAGTGGCCACCTTGGTGAAATTGAATAGACCCCTGTGCCTATTCTCAAAATCCATTGAGTATAATGATTTTTTCCCCTCTTTCCTTAGTGTTTATGAGACTGTATTTGACCATTCTACACAACCTAGTTAACTCTACAATAACAACGCAATTGAGTTGTAAATGTACTTTAAAAGCTGATAGTGATATCTGTGGTGCTGGAGACTGTGGGCTAGGGTTCCCAGCAAATTATGCTTTATTGTTCACTGTTTTATTGTTTACTGTATTATTTGCTGTGTTTGCAGCTACTTTAAGTCATTTGGTGTTAACTGCATGAGTGCTTATATGTCAAGTATGTGGTTATTGAGTAATTGTGTGGTTTGTGTGTGGGATGTTAAGTATCTTTTGATTTGTTAAATCAAATGAAAAATGGTGTGTCTGATTGGTCCAGACGCTACACTTATACATTGAATTTGTAACTCGGTTTCAGTCTGTGTGTTTATTCTGCAAAGACATTATACTTTCTAGGTTATTTTTAACCAAGCACATACTGTATAGCATAATACAATACTGTTTCAGGAAATCTTATGGGGAATAGAAGAGGAAAATTCCAAAGGTGATACACAGCATGGACCAATTATCTGTATGACCCAATGGATGTGTTTAATGAATTAATTAACCTATTTCAAGCTATAGTCTACTACTGTTCAAACATTTGGGGTCAGATTTTTTTTTTCTTTTTTCTTTTAAGAAGCTAATATTTGTAAGAATGCTTTAAAATGATCAACAGTAACAATTACTTTTATAATGTTACAAAATACGTCTGTTTCCAAAAGATTTCTATTTCCAATAAATGTTCTTTTGAACATTCTATTTATCATAGACTTTTGAAAAAAAAAATGCATCATGGTTTCTACAAAAAAAAAAAAATAATAATAATTAAACTGCACAACTGATTTCAACATCGAAAATAATAAGAAATGTTTTTTTTTTGCGCACCAAATTAGCGTATTAGAATTTGCTGCTGAAATTTCAGCTTTTCATTTCTGGAGTAAATGACATTTTAATATACATTTAAATAGAAAAAAAAAAGTTATTTTAAATTTTAGTAATATTTCACAAAATTACAGTTTTTACTGTATTTATTGTAAGAGATTTCTTTCAAACACATTTTTAAAAATCTTACCAATCCCAAACTTTTAAACAGTAGTGCACATACACAACTGAAATATGATAATATGCAGTGATGTTAGGATTATGAGTTAGGATTATTTGACAAAATGCACTTTTTCTCTCTAAACGATTAGTATGTTCTGTAGCTGTCAATCTGGGTGGACCAGAGCGGCTCTGGTCCTTATGTGGCCTCTGTCACACTTTGGTCTATGAGTTTGACTCAAACTCAACCTAGATGAACAGCCCAAAATAAAAATTCTCTAACTCCAGTCAGTTAACCCACTTGCCTGTGGCATATGGCTATCTGTCTCACAGTACATAAATTTGAATCCTCAACATTTAATTGGCGAGTTCAAATTTGATGCATCTCTCTCAGTTCTTCTTCCTCTCTTGGCATTTCAATCAGACTCGGCATCCTGCAGACTTTTAATTGCACACTGGTCTAAAAACCTTTGTTAGACCAAAGGGAGAAAATTAAAGTGAAAATCATGGTCACATGGCATTATTAGTGCCTAAAATCTGTTTTTCATCCAACACTAAAATGTTTAAATACACAGCAGTAAATGTAGTTTCTGCTTTGCAGCATGTCTCTCATAAAAAAAAAAAAAACTATAGTGTGTCCTTTTTTGTCTACAGATTATCCCTGCAGACACCAGTGACTAAATCTTGAGGGATGATACTGTTGGTAAAAAAGGTAGCACATTGTGATATCTTTAAAAATGTTCTCACTGCAGCATAAAGCCTGAATGTCTGAGGTGGGATAATTATGGCTTCGCGTGACTCAGCAGATTGTGTCATAGTATAAGCTTAATAGGCTGGTTAACCACTTTTGAAGTGATGGAGTTCACTCCTGCAAGCATGTTCCTGCATAAGATGAGTCAAAGTTCATTATGAGTTAATGAGCAAGGCTGTATGCCACTGTCTAGATGGAAGACAGAAGTGTTAAGCGTTCACACACCAGCATAATACCACTCTCGTATATATATATATATATACAACCCAAACATAAAATACCATTCAAAAGTTTGTGAAAGTCTCTTATGCTCACCCAGGCCGCATTTAGTTGATCATAAATACAGCAAAAACAGTAATAAATATTATTACAGTTTAAAAATAAAACTGTTTTCTATTTTAATACATCTTAAAATGTATTTTTTGTTCCTGTAATGGCAAAGCTTAATTTTCAGCAGCCATTTCTCCAGTCTTCAGTGTCACATGATCTTTCAGAAATAATTTTTGCATTTCAAAATTTGCATTTACAGTGTGGATATAATGTGGTGCCAATACAATCTATGTAGTCTACACATTGAATGATGAACATATTGCATCACATAATTTAATTTGTGGCCAGATTACAGGTTTAAAAAAAGTAATATGAACCCAAAAATTAAAAA